AGAAGAAGGAAGCTTGATGACAAGAGTGAACATATGATTCTAGTAGGATATCATAAAATTGGAGCATACAAGTTGTTCAGTCCAATTAATGAGAAGATCGTAATAAGTCGAGATATTATGATTGATGAAAATTTTGTCTAGGATTGGAATATGATGATGCAGTTAACAAGCCATTGATGAGTTATGGTATCGATGAAGAAACTGATGATGTCAAAGTCGAATTCAAAGAAATCCTAGATATTCAAATCGAAGCCGAAGCAGTTGCTGACATTCCCGACATAGTCATTGTCAAAGACCTCAAAGAATGAGAGTTCGTCCAGCAAGACTTCAAGACTATGAAGTGACTGGTGATGATGAAGTCACCCCAGATAGAGAATCAGTTAATTTTGCTTTACTTGCACATGTTAAACCAATAAATTATAACGAGGCTTTAAAGATTAAATAATGCAAGTTATCTATGGTCAAAGAGTTACAGGAAATCAAAAGAAACAACACATGAGAGTTAATCAAATTTCCAACATACACAAAACTTATCAAAGTGAAGTGGGTATTCAAGTTGAAGCACAATGATGATGGGTCGATAGCAATACATAAGGCGAGATCAGTGGCTCGAGGATTTCTTCATAGAGTAGGACTCAACTACTCTGAAGTATATACACCATTAGTAAGATTGGAGACTGTTCGACTAGAGGTAGCCTTGGCATGCAAGTAAGGCTGGTCAAAATTTCACTTAGATGTGAAATCATCATTTTTCAACGAAACTTTAGATGAAGAGTTTTATGTTACATAACATTTAGGGTTTGTGATTCATGAGGAAGTAAGGAAAGTATACAAGTTACACAAAGCGCTCTATAGCCTCAAGCAGGAACCTAGGGCATGGAACAAGAAGATTAACTCATACTTACTCAAATTAGGATTCATAAAATGCAAGTCTGAGTATGGTGTCTATGTTTAGGTTGTGGTACAACACATAATTATTATATGCTTGTATCTAGATGACTTGCTGGTAATTTAAAATAGCTTGGAGAACTTGTAGAAGTTCAAATAGTTGATGATGAGGGAATTTGAAATGCTGGATATGAGAAACATGTCTTATTTCCTAGGCATGGAATTTCAAATTTCGAAGCAAGGTATATTTCTACATTAAAGGAAGTATGTCAAACAGATTCTTAAGATATTCAAAATGGATGAGTTGAATCCTGCATCCTCACCTGTCGAACCAAACTCGAAACTGGAGAAACATGGAGATGAGGACAAGGTCGCTGCCATTTTGTTTAAACAAATTATGGGATCTCTAAAATATGTGTGCAACAGTCGACTGAATATAAGTTTTTCAGTCATATTAGTAAGAACCAAGGGTGTCACACATGAAGGCTACAACAAAAATTATGAGATACTTAAAAGGATCGATAAACTATGGAATTCTATTTTGACAAGTGTTGTACCCCAAAATTTGCCCTCTCATTTCTCAAGGAATCACTCTGGATCCTCAAGTTTGCTTCCATCTAATTCCAAGCCTCGAATTACAAATTTTCCAAGAAAATCATCCACAAGAGCAAAATGGTCATTTGCACACTGAAAAGTCAAACTTTGACTTTTGGATCAAAATCAAATCTCAAAAATCATATTTCATCAAGACATGTTGGAATATGAAGTTTGTTTCATCTAAAAATTCAAAACTCAAATTTACTTTGGAAAAGTCAAAATTCCTAAACATTTAGAAAATTTTCTAAGTGTTAAGAGCATATGATACCTCAGAACTTCTGAGTCAACCTCCATGCAAGTGCAGTCAGAAGTTGCAAATATGGTTCACAACATAGTCTTCAATCAGAACATGACTCTTCAGCG